CTATCAAATTTAGTGATACAAAGGTTTTTTGAGCCATGCTCGTTTGATTGAAGACGACTTGTTATATTTTCTAAGAACAAATGTCCAGCGTTCTTACGTGCGTAAGCCTTGCTCTCTTTACGTGCAAATAACTGTGTCAATCAGAAGTAAGTAGCTCGAATAAGTGCTATAATAGGCAAATTGCAGGCACTTTTCAATACATAATTAATGCATTCAACGAGATTTATCGTCATATGACCCCATCAATGTCTGCCATCAAATGCTAAAACCCATTTTTCTTGTGGAATTTCATTAAGTCAATCTATATAAATTTTTCCATACTCCTATATTCGCTCATAGTGTATATTAAATTCATGCTTAGTTCTTGAGTAGCCTGTAAATAACAAATTCAAATTTCATAAGCATAAACAATGTCATCTTAAAATAAGCATATTATATTACTTTAAATAAGAAAATGAGGTTAATTACACTTACGAACAACAAGTTTATGCACGTTGGGAGCCTTGAATCTTTGCAAGAAATTTGCATCAACGTACCTAATACAACTCATGTGAAATGCTCTTGGAGGTTCTCACTGACCATTCCTTCTTCTTATTGTTGCTATAATTGACTCGTGATGATCATAAATTATGCCAACACCATCTTTAGTAACAATGTATTTTCATAAATTTTCAAGGAAAAAACTCCAACCATCCACTATCTCACCCTCAATAATAACAAATGCAATCGATAGTATATTTTGATTTCCATCTTATGCAACCACCACTAATAGAACTCCCTTGTATTTGCCATATAAATGAGTCCCATCAACCTGTACAAGTGGCTTGCAATGTTGAAATGCTCTAATGTAAGGACCAAAACTCCAAAACACTCATCGTAGTATTTGAACATTGGGAACCATTTCATCATTGTGATAACCTCTGCAACATCTACTTTCACAACAGATCCTCAAACAACATCACACATTGCTATGCACTATTGCGACAAAGTTTCAAATGAGGCTTCCCACTGACCAAATACTTTTTCAATTGCCTTTTGTTTTGCCAACCAAGCTTTTCGATAACTTATTGTGTACTCAAATCGAGATTGAATTTCCCCAATCATTATTTTAATTTTAAAAGAAGGATCAAATTCTACCATTGGCTATATACATTCTGCAATTGTGTCTTATCTAACTTTTTGTGATATTGAGAAATAATTCCAACAGTACAAGTATGTGGACCATTATATTTTTGGATTTTCCAAAAATACTCATTCTTCCTTAAACTAGCTCGAAAAAGTCACTTGTAATCTAAGCCATATCTTACACATTTGCAATAAAAAGATTTTGGTTCTGACTCTAACACACCACTCCTTTTGATATACTGTAATGCTTTACTGTTTTTATAACAGCTTCTTTGTCATTGAATTGGCTTCTAACATACAATTCACCATCTATCTCTGTGTTACCTACCAATTGTAAACATAAACTAATTAACAAAACTAAAATTAATCTCACTAACATAATTACAAATTTCACATACCTAAGTTTGTATACTCTGGAAACTCAAAAGCATGCATAGCATCAAGATCTAATTCACGCATGAATGGTGACGCGCCAAAAGGATGTTGTCCATCATTAAGATCCTCATCACTTTTTGATAATTTCCTTCAAATTTATAGTCATTATTTTCGCTATTGTTCTCTAGTACCATGACAATTTCTTCTTCAACCTCATTACTTTTGAAAACAACATACAACTCAATTGTATCAGTTGGAGGATGACGTTGTTGATGTATCTGAAACATTTGTTAAACATCGTCATCGTTGGTTATTAGAATTGAATGATATTGCATAAAACTATCGTTAAAATAAATTACAACAGGCACACTCATTTTTTTCTTTTCATAAAAACACAAGCTTCACACACTCTCTCTAAGAACTTCAAATGGTTGTAGGGATGAATTGCAATGAATGAAGATGTTAGTATTTATAGACTCATCAAATAAAAATCGCCAATGACGTTTTATAACATTTTTTAAAAGTTTACATTAGTCAAAAGTCGTAATTGACAAGTTTTAAAAAGTGAAAGTTTTTTCGACAATATAAAGTCGTCAATATTGATTTTTACCAGTCATATTTATTTTTCTTTTCCTAAACTTGCCAATGACGACTTTACTTTGTCAATTTTTTTTTGCGCTGTAAAATCGCCAACGACGAGTTTACTTTATCAGATTTTGTTATTTTGCACCTTAAAATCACCATTGGTGTTTTTTATATATACCATATTTACGTAATTTTGTAATAAATGTCATATTTTTGTAATTTTATTTTAAAAAACCATAATTAAAAAAATGACCCTTTATAGACTAATTTGATATATTATTTTTTAAAAATATTAACTTTATCCATATTTTAAAAAATAAATAAACAATGTTAATAAAGTTAACTAAATTACTAAAACTTCATCTTTAAATTAAAGTTAACTAAATTTATAGCACATATATGTATTTAATCTTTGAAATTCGTAGCGAGATTTATAATTCATTAAAGTTTTCAATAAACACATACATCGGCGCACACGTAAAAATTAATCTTTATATTTTAATCTTTTCTTTTATCTTTCAAAATAGACGTTGAAAGAAGTATGCACAAAAAAGTGAAAAATAGTGTGATAATGATGTCACTATTTATTAAATTTGAAAAACAAAAATCTAAACACCACACCGACATAGTCTTTTTGCCCCAAATCTCTTTGCTGTCCACATACCTGTGTGAAACTCACAAAACGATTGGTCTACCACTACCTAACGCCCTTTCAAAATCCAACCTTACTTTGATGGCTGCTTTCGCATCTCCTTAAACCATCATTTGTGACATCTAATTTTTTTTTTTTTCATTAGTGTAATTCAAATAAAACTTTGTGCAGAGATTTTTAGAAACCTCTTTCTCCATTGTACACGCCTTAGAACTTGTGTAAATGAAGAATTAAACAAACACTAATAGAATCTCTACAACACAACTTTAGATGGATTTTCGTTGCTCTCTTGATTTTAGATCTACTCCCATAATTAATAATAATTAGCGTTTTGTTACACTGGTATCAATTAAAATTTGACCTTTTTAAACATAATAATAGGCAATTTATTGATGATATATAATAAAGCTTACCTTATGAAATGATTAATACTTAACTTAGGTTACCCTAAGTAGACCAGGAATTTTTAGCAATAAAAAGAAACGCCATTACTGCGACACATGACACTGATGTCAACAGCTACAAGCTTGCAAGACATGAGCGGTTAAAGTCCTTTGTAGTTAATTAATTCCTAACTTCTGGCTAGTACTTGTTTAAAATTACAATAAATGTTTTTTATAAATAAAAATTTATTATTTTTAATTACTTAAACTCAATTTTAAGGGTTGAGATTGATTTTTTTTTTTTATATATAAAATTATGAAAACATAATAAAATTTGTTCTAAAATTACTTGTATTTACTAAATATTGGCTTAGTTCTCTTTTATCTAATTTTTTCTTAATTATTGTACAATAATTAAAAAGTTGAATCATAAGTAAATATAATTATTAACATGTTCTTAATTTTCTCATTTATTAATTATAAGGGTAACATTTAAAAATAATTAATTTGCTAAAGGTTGAAAATCGATTTTCATAGCTACAAAACTTGTCCCTCGAAGTGGCTTTTAACTTACCCATAAAATGCTCTTGGCTGTTGAGTATGTTTCGGAAACTGTGTCATTTTCACAAAACCACTTAACAAATAGACACTAAAAATATATATGTTTGTGTCATCTGAAAATGTATTTTTTTCCAAGATTTCTTGAAAAATGAAGTTGGGATTGTAAATTATTCCATGTTAGTGTAAGTTCTAAAATAGTATTCCTAAGTATTATTAAAGGTGATATTTGTGAGTATATTTTTTATGGTTTAAATATATTTTTAATTCTTATATTTTAATAATTTTTAAATTTTTTAATGAGTTTTTTAATTTTAAAATACGTGATTTACAAAGAACATGTAACGTTTTTTTTATTAAAAGGGCTAAATAAAAACTTACAAAAATGTAAGAATTAAAATTATATTTTAGAGGGCTTGATATAAAAAATTATTAAAATATAAAACAACTAAAAGTATATTTAAACTAATTTTATTTAAATATAACATGTTATTTGAGATTTAAGTATTAACAGCTGTTTTATTTTCACTTTTTTATTGTTTAAAATCTGTAAATATTATTTTAAATATTGAAATTATATAAAATATGTATTAAAAATTATTAAAAGATAACATATTTTATCGTAATATATTGAAAAATATCATCCTCAAACAAATAACAATATACATTAAGACTAACTTCTGAGTTAGCTTTCAAGGTGAAGAAAAGTTAAGATATGGGAGTAGAGTAAATCATACATATAGCATAAATAGGGAATCATTAAAACTAATTTTCATTAAATAAATGAACCTTAAGACAAAAACAGAGAGATAATTTTCTTTAAAAAGTAAGACTTATGCCCCACTCTCATTATCCACTATTAGTACCAACCGGACAGAAAAGGTCCCCTCATGCCAGCGTGGCTCCCATGTACCAACTAACTCAATTCCCATCACACCAACTAATCCTCCAAACGCCACGCGCTTCATCATCACTCGCCCACTGCCGCACACTTCAACGGCTCACATTTCCCGAAACGCCCCTCCGCGCGTGAGATTTGCATTTACAAGGAAGGGTTCTGATGTCATTTCATGATAACGAAGCTGGAACACTTGGCTCCGAAGTAACTGCACCGGCACTCCCCCACAACCACCGAGGCCATTGCTCTTAACATGTACTTAAACGCACCGTATCAAGTGATACACTATCCACCGTACGATCAAGTCAAGTCATTGCACCGAACGGTTAGAAGAAGAATAGCCGCCAAATATTCAGTTAGTGTTGACCACACGTCGTGTTTCCCCAAAACTAATAATCCAAGCTTTTCAGTTTGTTTCAGTTTCAGACATTTTCTTTTCGGTTTTTTAGTTTTGAGTTTAACTTTCACTCCAAAGGCTTCAAAGACAGGACAACATGCAAATGCAACAGCTAATAAATTGAAGAAGCTTTAGGTCACATTTTGCTTTGTTAGTTCTCATTTTCTGTTTCACTCTTTTCCATGGTACACACTACCCACAACCTTTCTCTATTGTTTTTGCTTTCTTCATCTGTTTTCTTAGTTTCTTGTTCATTCTATTTGTTCATATCTTACTGTTGTGAAAAAAAAAATCTTTAAGAAAAATAATGAGAATTTCAATTCTGTAGTCTAATAGTTTCAATGTGGTTGTGGTACCCAGGAATTGTAGATTTGAGGCCAAGAGGTTCCACGTTTGTCAGGTAATTGTCAGATCTAGCTTCACTCGTGTTAGTTTAGCTCCAATTTGTGGTGTTGATGGATGAAACAGATCTTGTTGATTTTAATTCTGTGTTTCCTTAGGTGTGTTTGATTTGTTGCTTCAGTTTTAGGACTTGGTTTGGTTGTTGTATCGGCATTGCGCTGGTGTCTTTCATGACTATTGCTAAATTATAGTAATTGTCGAAGTTTTGGTGAAAACTCCAGTTTGTATTTCCCAGTTGCCTTGCGGTTATTGTTTGATTATTTTATTTTGATGCACTATTATTGTCGGTGACAACATATTAAGGTCACGAGTGTGGTGGTCCATGATTAGGTGCAGTTATTATTATTGCACTTGAGAATAGATGCGATCAATTTTGTTCAATATGTCTTTTTACTGTTTATAGTTGTTGGTCGTCATTATTTCCCTTGATTTACAGTTTCAAAGCCTAAAGGATTACATTGGTGATTGGCCTACCTTTCTCTTTTTGCTGTAAATTTGGCTGATTGTGAGCGTGTTGCCCCACTTTGTCCATCATTAGTAGGAGAAGAGAATCATTCTCTTGTTAATAACCTATTAATTAAAGAGAAGGAAAGTAGTTAATCTCTTTGGGTAAGAAGAATATCCTTGTTGCAAAAGCTGTTATCCTATTTTCACCCAGAAAATTTTACCTTTTAGAAAATAAATTGCCAGTTGAAGACTTAATTCTTAGCAAATGTGATACAATTTCTAACCGTAACCCACATAAAAGAAAAGAGAGGAAAGAGAGACAATTTCTTAAACAGAGCCTTCTAAAATATGTTTGTGTTTGAAATTCTGTAGCATCCTTGATTTGTTTAATATAAGGTATAAAAATGAGATAAATTTTATGAAATTTGTTTTGTAGTTTCTAGAACTCCTAAAATCTTGTCTATGAGATTTTAAGATTCCTCCTTCATATTATATGAATACTTTAGTTATTAAGTGTTTTAGCATTGCAGTTAAGTCGTTTCTATGTCAGCATATGAATGCTAATTATTAGAATTTATTCTCCTAGTTCCAGCATTTGCCTTGCTACCTGATGGCCGTAATGACTTATGTATCTCAACCATACAACACATCGGGGTTACAGTATAACCGTGGCAACATTTCACTGCTTAACCTTAGTTGCACCGAGAAAGTAACTAAATTTGATGGTCTTGTTTAGTATTCAACAATTCATATTGCATAATTTCAGGATTTAGTGTGTTTTTGGTTTTTGAGTTGTTTATTCACTTTCTTATTTAACCTTGTGAAACAATCATCATGGGGATCGATATAGAGATTGGGTTCACTGTTTTTCTGCTGCAGGTTGTGATCTCAGAATGGGGAAATCACCAGGAAAATGGATCAAAACTGTACTATTTGGGAAAAAGTCGTCTAAATCAAATATTTCAAAAGGAAGAGAGGTACTACTACAAGTTAAAGCGACATCACAACCCTATTCAACATTAGTAAATATTTTTGTTTTACTTACGTGTGAATCCAGATAGCCCTTACATTACAACCTAATTTGTCTAATCAGGATTATTAATAAATTGTTGTTATGATATAGAGAAAAGGGCAGGAAAATGAGTATAGATTTAGTTCTACATTAACAGGCAATTGTCAGATTCCTGTCTGTTATTTTTCCATTACTGTAAAACCACATTCTGCTTTGGTTTCATTGCCATGGAACTAAAGTTTTCCATTGCCAAACACCCAAGATTATGAACAAGAAATGGAGCTAGGGTATTTAACTGCTGTTGCACTATTTAAATGTATTTTGATATGAGGTTTTCCTCATGCAACTTCTGACTTTTACTTTAATTTCATGTAGAAGCTTGTTAATAGAAAAAAAGAAGTGATCACTTCCAACGTGTTGGAAAATGATTTGGATTTAGATCCAAACCCCAATAAGATTGACAGAAATGAGGAGGACCTTGAACTAGAGAATGAAGAATCAGAAAATATTTTACCGGGGAACCAAGAAAGAGACATCATAGGATCTGTTGACCAAGATGCACCACCTGATCCAGAGAAAATCCGGCAGAAGGAAGCAGCAACAAAGGCACAGGCTGCTTTTAGGGGTTATTTGGTAGGTCTCTAACTGTTTTAAAGAAAATTAATTGATTAAATTCTTATTGTTGTTTTGTCTAAAACATTACAAGTTTGAAGTGTACTCTGGGATAAGATATCTAGATGTAGAGTGCAAAAGGATAGTAAACTGTGAAACTTACTTTCCTATTATTATTGAAGGTTGATGACCCTTTGACACGTGTAATAGAAGAAAAAGGGAAAGTAAGCTGGAGAGAATTGGACCAAAGGAAATTATATATGCCCATTGAAGGAGAAATAGGAATGCTGCCAGGAGTAAGGAGGAAAGTGTAACAGAATGTATAGTTGTACACATAGCAGCAGGATATTTATTTGAGAGGAGAATTGTGCAATGGTGGGAAAGGGAAACAAAAACATTAAAAAGAATAGGGTGGACCGGTGGAGGAACTGTGGAGTTGTAGGATAGAATTTTGGAAGTGAATTGGTGGCATAGGCTTGGGAAAGTGGAGTCCATGTAACAGCTTTGGTTGTTATATCTTACGGCTGTATTTCCTCAGTATATGTGGTTCTATTATTGAGAAGTAGTTTTCCCCCTTTATGAATCTCTCCTCCTTGTGTTCTATCCTGTATTCAGTATTAATTACAGTTACTAATTACTATTGAAGGTTTTGGTCAACTAAGTACGCTAGAACAATTCTTTTAAATTAAATGTAGTATTTAGAGTTAGAACCAATCATTAGACTTCTATAACCCCCCCCCCCAATTTTTCTTAATTTGTGATGTTATTTCATATAATATTATATCTGACATGTTTATTGGTCAAATCAATCTGGCAACAAATTTCGTGTTTTATAAACTCAAAACTCTAAGAATTTTTCGTAATCTTGAAAATAATCCTGAGATATTTGCCTGTCATATGTTTACTCTTCCTGGCTTCCACTGTCACCACAGAGACTCATCTGATACAAATCATATTTCATTTGACAACCAATTGCAATCTTAATTTCTTTACTAATGTCTCTAATATTTTATCTATATTTTCTTTCAAGAGAGATAGTGCATGAACATTTTTTAGCAAATTGAAAATATCTTTGTGGAGTTCCTCTGACTGTACAAGTTTGTCAAAATCATACAATATTTTATATCAACTAATGGATGGATCACTTATGAAGGCGCGCAGGGCATTTAGGGCCCTAAAAGGCATAATAAGGTTGCAAGCACTTATTCGTGGGCACTTGGTTAGGAGACAAGCTGTTGTTACACTATGCTGTATGTATGGGATTGTAAAGTTACAAGCACTTGTTCGTGGAGGAAGGGTTAGGCAGTCTGATGTTGGATTTGAATTCTGTGACAAGCGCAATCTACTTAAGTCTCTGGTACTGTTTTCTAAAATTCTGTAAATTATCAATGATTTTTCATGTTGCTTATATTGTTCAAGGAATTTTTCTGATTTGTATGAGTGTATAATGCACCTCACTATCTAGGTCAAATTAGAACAAAATGGTTCTATTAAATGTGAAAATTTTAGCTTAACAGATAGCATTGAAATTAGAACTTGTTAAGGATTGTGTTTGACAAATGTATTGACATTTATTGGATAATATGAAAATTGGTAAGGGTGAATAATATGTATTTATTGAACAAATGTGAAATTTCTAATCAAATTCTTCTGGTTAGTGGATGGTGCCATCAATCATGTATTCTTAGAAGGCAATAAAATTATTCTGCCCGTGTATAATCCCTTTACTGGAAAAAGTTACAGAAAGGAGTTCTTGGTGAATTTGGCAACCTTTAACCACTCAACTGGATGTTCAAAACTTTTAATAGAGGTTAATGAATAACCAATTATTGACTCAATTAACCACTTTACTGATTAACTTTTCTTAAATTTAAAATAGTTTTACCAAAAATTCCTTTTTCTGTTTTTTCGTTATTTTTAATTGCTAGTGGTAAGATTTTTCCTTCTGAATGTGTCATTTGTTTGTGCTTCAGGATGGCAAATTTGGTGAGCCAGTTGGAATTTCCACAAAAATTTCAAGGCTTTCAGCAAATAGGTTCATCTGTAAGGTAATTCATTGTGCCATGCATATGATACAATTATTTATTTATTTTTTCATTTCACATATTATGGATAGATTCATTTGATAATGAACAGTACTATAAGTTTTTCTTGGATGAATGTGCTTTAATTTTGCATTTGAGAAAAAAGAATTTAGACCCCCTTCATTGAGAGAACAGCACCCTTTTTCTTTCTCTCTATGGGCCAGTGGGACCACCCTGCTAGTAGTAGGGAGACAAAAATACAACATCCCTGATAATTGCTCTCAACTGCAGAGGATTTTGAATTCAAATACTTAGATAAGGCAAGGTATTGCTTATTTCTCAAGAACATGAAATGTAATTTTTTAATGATGAATTTTGGTATTAAGAAAAGTTAAAGAATAAAATGTTTTTTTTTTAGTAGAACTAACTATTGGAGCCATAAAGAATATGCCTGTCCTTATTAACTGATATTTACCATAGCTACCTATTCTTTTCCCTTTTCTTCCTAACAATGCCGTTTAGAACAATTTTTGTTTACATGGTCTACCATTGTTTGAAATAAGAGGAAGATTGAAAGGTTCTGTTTTAACTTTTAACACTCCAGATTGAGGCTCATAGTTTTGAAGTTGTGCTTTTTATTATATGAAGAGGCTTTTTGTTGTTAGGCATGCAGACACATGCATAGATGCTATAGTATCACTTCAGTGACAGTTTAATTATTTAATTTTAGATTGAAAAGTGTAGCAAGGACGTGACTGTTATATTTACTTAAATATTCAAGCAACATTGTTGGATAGCAAAAAAAGGTAATTAAGTAAATCAGATGACATGATTGTAAAATTAATCATATGTCAAAAGTAATTAAGATTGCGTGTTCTCAATTCTAATTCCACGAGCAGTAATTTTGTTCAATTACTTGACATTATTCTGATAAGAGTACACAGAGAAGAGTAACAGGTTCATTACCAGTGTAGTCCAGTAAAACAGCTTGGATGAATTCATAAATGATATTATAATTACTTATAATTATCAGAACATGTTTGAATTTGCTCCAAGTGGATTTATGTGCGATACTAATCTTGTCTTGCCATAATTTACTTCAATTAAATCTGGACCTGGAAATAAAGGGGCTATATTGCGGCATAAATTATATGGATCACACACTTCTATCAAATTTCTGTTTTACTCAAACTGGGTATGTGAAAGTGTTTGTTTGTTGTTTTAGCTTCTTGCTTCATCAACTACAATAACGGCCCTGCACCTGCAATATTTAAGTGGAGATCCAAATTCACTCTTTAGCTGGTTAGAGCGCTGGTCAGCATCTTACTTTTGGAAACCGGTTCCCCAACCCAAGAAAATTCGAGACTCTAAATCTCAGAGAAAGCAGGGCAACATTTCAAATGGAGAAGCTCAAATTAGCAAGTCGAGACGTACAAACAGGAAGCTTCCTATTGCAAATTTTGAATCAGTCCCAGTTCAAACAAATCCTGAATTTGAGAAACCAAAACGTAACTTAAGGAAAATCTCAAACCAACTGTCAGATCCAGAGCAAGAAAACCCACAAAGTGAGCTTGAAAAGGTTAAATGTAACTTGAGAAAGATTCATAACCCTGTTGTTGAGAATGCTATTCTGTCAGAAGTTGGATGTGAGACCCCAAAGCAGCATTTGGAAAAGGCAACAGTTATTGCAGATCATGCTGTTTCAGAACAAGGGATCATCACTTCTGATGAAAAGGTCAAGAAGGAAGCAACTTCAACCATTTCCAATGTACCTGATGTAGAAATTATGCCAAGACCAACAGTTAACATGGAGGTGTCAGACATTCCAAGCAGTTATCAAGTGTCTGTGGACTCAAAACCCTTGGCAGAGACTATAATTAAAGATAGAAACACTTCTGATGAAGTTAACAAGGAACTGAGCAATCTACCTGACGCTATTTTTAAAGATGAAAATTATCCATTAACAAATGGAGATTTGATTCATAAAGGAGAACTACCAGGTAATGAAAAGCAGAAACCCACCCGGAAAGCCTCAAATTTGGCTAAGCAGGAGAATGCAGAAAATGGTTTAAAGAATAGTCCAAAATTACCAAGTTATATGGCAGCAACTGAATCTGCAAAGGCAAAGTTGAGGACACAAGCGTTCCCAAGGTTTGGACAAGATGGAATTGACGTAAACAATACTGCTGAGCGACATTCTCTGTCGTCTTCAACTAACAACAAGATTAGTTCACAATCACCTAGGACACACAAATCAGTTCAAGCAGGTGGTAAAGGGGGCCACAGAAGTGACAGAACTACACCATCTTCTAGAGGTGGGAATGATATGATATAGTTTTTCCTACATATATTGGTTTGAAAATATGTCACAATATGATTTTACCTCGAAAATTATTATTTTAATGATTTTTGAAAAACTGATTAGTTAGTTTAAAGTCGCTAGTCCAATCTTCACCGGATAGTTTAGTCTTGATTGCAGACTCTGAATAGTACACTTCTTTTTCTTCATAGTAAATCAACATGGTAGAAGAGAAGTTTTAATTTCCATATGAATCAATATGCTGGCGTGTTCCTTTGTTTTCTCATGATTGATAATCATAAACTAGGTCTTGTCTTGCAGGGAAGGTAATTCAAGCAGAGTGGAGGAGGTGATACGAAGACTGGTTTTCAGGGGTTGAACAAGAGGAAGAAAATCGTGTGGGGCCAACTATGATGAGAGTTTTTGAAATGATAGGACCATGGTATGAGCTGGTTTGATCGGCTTCTTATTTTTCCTGCATTCTGGGTATTTGAGGGTGAGTTGTACGATATAGGTTTTACGTTTTGCACGCTGCAACTTTACAAGTCTATGTTCTGTTTGTTTCTGGCATGATTCCTTGGCTGTCCATATCATATTTCTCCCCCCCTCAGTGTGTATGACCATTAACTTGATGTACCTTCATTTGTGTTCCTAAACTTCTCTGTGTGGACAAATATAGTCCGGTAACATGAATAAACTCATACGAGATTTCTTCAGCCTTCCAAAAACTTTTCGCATTTCAACTCGTCAGGGCCCCCGGTGATAGATGGGTTGTGTTATGTTAACTTTTACAGAGCATAAGATGCATGACGACTAAGGTCCATGATAGCTTACAATACTCGTAAGTTTTGTTGTTTTTTTTTAACTTATTTTATCGAACTTTCTGGTAGAGTATATATATATAATCAGTTTATTTTAATAAGTTTGATGATTAAATTTATATCACAAGACTTTAATAAAGGTGCAAATGTGATACAGTTAATCACCAAAAGAGAAAGAGCAAATAACTAGTATCTGTCTCACTTGAACGGAATATCTCAGCGGGGTCTACAAAACAAAGTTGAACAACACAAAATAATATCTCACTCTCTTGCCCATGACTCAGGCTGAATCTTATTACAACTCTTCTATGCCTTGCTCATGTTTCATTCTCTCTTATAAAAGACTTCCCGTCTCATGTACTCTTCATGACTGTCCAGTGTATTGCCCACTAAAGCATGACTAACTCTTCCCTAAATTATTCATCACGTGTCACTTTGTTACCCCTCTCGGAATATACCTTCCAATTTGTGGTATCTCAATTTACCTGCTCATCTAATAACTTCACCTTATTTCTTGAATTGGTAGGCTCACGGGTCTCGTCAAAATGCATCCAAAAAATATCACTTGACAACGATGAAATAACATGACCAGCGATTAACAATCCCTTGCATTTTCTTTGTAAGAAATGCAACTGACATTTTGTTAACACACTCTTAATTTAATGAATTTTTTTTTCATATTTTTATAATTTTTAATAAAATTTAACTAATGATTAAGAGTGTATTAAAAAAGGTAAGTTAGAGAATATATTTTTAGCATCTCTCTTTCTTCATTCCTTGATACTTTTATTGTTACATAGTTAAGCCCAAATAAGAAATGTGTCTTTTGTCACACTTTATTGCTACTTTAATTTAAATTTTTTTATGTAAAATATTCTTATCGTTCACTAAGTTGTAAAAAAACAATATTTTAAATAAAAGTTACTTAAAAGAAAGTAATAATAAATATTTACAAATTCATAATAAATACACTCCAAATGAAAAGTAGTGTTGGATTGAATGAATATTTTGCTCTTGTTAAGAATTTGGAACAAAAATTTTATTCTTTAAAATTTTAAAAATCACATTAGTCTCATATTTTCATTCTCGTCGAGCATTTTAATCTGTAGATCAAGACGCTATTAATAAATAGTAACAAAATATTAACATATACTAAGATATCACATTAAGTGACATGTATGAATGGTTATGTAAGAAAAATTATGTAGTATATGTTATATGATATATGTTTTCATTTCATTTTAATTCTTTAAACTATCACCTGTTAAACATTTTAGTTTGTGAGATTGTCACCTACAAGCATTTTAATTCTTGATTCTTAAAACCTTCCACCTACCAATTCTTCTTCATTATCCATCACCGAAAACTATCATCGCCGATCACCATTTGCGTTCTTTGTTGGCAACCCAAGTTTATGTTTGTTCCAAATTTAGGTCTCATTGTTCCCTTCAAAACCCCACAAACTATTGTTTGAAAACAATTTCCAAGCTCATAGAGTCCAATAATAGACAACACCGTCGATGTCAAAACTTAAGAGAAATAGAAAATTGTATATCAACGCAATGATTTGAATTAGAACATTGCAAAGAGATTAATCAACAATCCACAAAATAAAATTATGATTTCGTACCATCACCACCGTTTGTGGATAACAAAAATATAACTTTGAATAATCAATTTAAGAGCACTTTTCACCTCTTGAAACAACCATTAAAGGAAATACTTAGCTATGTTTTTTTATATATACCTGAAACCCATATATAAATAGTCAACGAAACCATGAGGTTGAAATTTGTCTAAACATTGCTTGAAACAAGCCGAGAATGTAGTTTTTAGTAATAGAAAATCAATAGGAAGAAGGATGGATATATGAAATATCAGCAACTAAAATGCTTATCAAGACAATATAAGGGACTATAATGCTTGACAGGTGATAGTTTCAAGAATTAAAATTAAATAAAAACATATATTATTAAATATGACATCATTTTCATTAAGTAATTAATTATAAATGTTACTTATCTTGACATATTAGCATTCTATTAATATATATTACTATATATGAGTCTAAAGACTAAAATGTCTAATAGATATAGAAAATAAATAAAAAACCTAGATATAATGTAAAAATTTTTAAACTTATATTAGTGTAAATTTATATATATATATATATATATATATATATATATATATACACATGTATAATTTTTAAAAAATAATATACTATCAATATAAAATTTTAGCTATCAACTAATTAAAAATTACCATAATTATAATTTTCAAAGTCTTTTTTATAGAAGTTAATAATTCTTAATAACATGTCATCAATAATTACATTGTAGCATAAAAAATATTTATGTTGAGATCGTTTTAATTAAATTCTAACTTTAATTAAATAAAATTTTAATTCTTTGAAATTAAAAATATTAATTTTTTAATTTTATATCAATAAATGTTCACATATTTCTATAAAAAAAAAACAATCCTTTTTCCTATATAATTTATAGTTTATGTCAACAAAATATAAATATTTTGAATTTAGGATAAAGGAAGGATTCTGAAAAAAAAAAAGTTATAAAAAATAAAATGAAACTAAAAATTTACACCAGAGTTAAAATCTTAAACACTACTTGAAATAGCGTTTGAAAAACCGTCATTCCATTAATAGCTATTAATTTTAATCTTACTAAACAATAATTTTGTTCTAACAAACATTTCAACAAATAGAATAAACTTAAATAATTCCGTATGAAGAATTAATTGTGGACAGAACAAACGGGTCTCAAGACTTCTTTTTTTGTTTTCAATTTGTTAACATAACTTTTAGTACATGTAATCTTGTAAAATTTACCTGTATAATTGTATAGATTTATGTTTATTTATGTTGCGTCTTTACTTCGTCATTTTTCTGGATCAGTCCTTTACTCATACCTTTCCCTCCTCCAGAGAACCCACTTCAACCGAAAAAACAAAGGGAAGATTCCAATACCTAGGGCATGACTCACTGAAAATTGAGTGAACTAACTTGAGTTGGATCAATCACAACCCCATGAACTGGTCCTGAACGACGAAAATTTCTGCGTTGTCTTACAGTAGGAGACGATGATAGTTGAATGCTATGAGGAACAGGAACTTTCTGCGAGTGGCCGGCAATACATAGGGCACCAGTATCATCTTGCTCCCAGTATACTTCTACCATAGACCCAGTGGGGTTATCTGCAGACTCTGTTCCTGGAATTCCCACAAACCTAGCTCCTGTAGGAATCTGCATGATTATTGAATTGATCAGCATTCAGCAGAAAAGGACTAGTCGTCATAGTTGCAACTTATATTGAACTGAAAAGCAAAAGGTTCTGCAACTTTGACAACTGTGCTCGGGTTATAAATAAATATTTTATATTCACAGTGTTAGAGAACTCAATACAACAAACTTCAACTCAACCTTTTGAGGTATACACCTGACTGTAGAAAAATCTAAAGTAAAATACAGTGACACTTACCTGCACGGATTCTCCAGATGATAAGGACAGGGTCACTAGGCTTCCTTCGGCTGCAGCATTTTCGAGTTCTGCTTGCTTTGCAATATTCAAGAAAACTTCTTCCAGAGTTGTAAGACCAAGCTGGATGTCGGATATGCCTAGCTCTTCTTCTCTATCTTGGAGCTCCGAAAAGAAATTCTGTTTGGGAAGCAACAGGAGTATAAGAAAATATAATCTGTGTTATGGCTCATTTGGGGCGTGCTATGCATAATTCTAACGAATATGTAACAATAATTTATGTTCATTAAGAAGAGTAAACTCGTTTTAGTTATTAGACAGTATGCATTGGTCATTTTAATTATTGACTATAAAATTTTTACTTTAATTATATAAAATGACATTTATTTTAGTCACTCTCTTTTTTTTGTGTGTGTGTATAAAATGACAATTAAGAAATGATGTGAAAAAAAAATAATGACTTTAAGAAAATCAAGGACTAAATTGAAGATTTTTTTCAAGTCGGGAACTAAAATAATTGACCCTTAAATAGTGTATTGCCGTGAGCAATGTAAATAAATATAGGAGTTACTCTTTACTATAAATTATAAACTATGGTGTTACAGAAAGGATAGCGCTATTCCTACAACAAAATCTTGCAACATATCTTACAACAAGGAGAGAGAGATAGGAAGGGAAAAGAAAAAAGTAAGAAAACATTTTCACAAATTATAAAGACAATGCACAGATGACTCCTTTTCCATCCCTTGAGGCAAAAAAGAAATTGTCAGAAGTTTTTGCCGTTTAAAATTAAGTATACTTGTTCTCAGGTAATACACAAGATAAGATGATTATAGTTTCAAACTATAACCAGTAAATATTGACTCGGCAAAAAATTCTGCCTATGTAGGTCCGTTAAACTAGAAAATTCCAACAAATATCTGCTTCCATGTCAATCAGTATTTAAGCAACATATAAGACACAAAAGTTATAAATCCTGTTGTCAGAGCAGATTAAAGGAAATGGACGAAGTCAAGAAAAGATAGCTTACCGTCAGAAGTGCCTCTCTGTCATGGGGAATCACAAAAGTTAGGAAGTTATTGTTCTCCTCTTTTGGCACCACATCTAAACGCTGTCAATATATTTCAGGGGTTAAAAACCAATCCTTTGCTTGTCATGGAAATATTTCAAATCATCATAGCAATTCATCTCACATTTTTAAAGAATTTCTTTACGGTCTCACGATGTTCTGTCGATATTGCATCTCCATTGCCAGGACTTCGTTCATTATTGTTTCCATAGAAGCTGATATTAGCAATAAACCCAGTTCCGAATCTTGACTTCAATCTGATTGAGGTACCAATGCAGCGAAGCCTTCCCTTCGCCATGATTCCAATGCGGTCACTTAGAATGTCAGCTTCTTCCATAGAGTGTGTTGTAAGAACAATGGCACGCCCTCTTTTTGCATTTTCTATTATGTCCCACACATGCCTTCTTGTTATTGGATCCATACCAGTAGTCTGGGAATTAAAATCAAGGATTAATCATGTAACCATGTCAATAAATGCATGCATGAAAGGAATAACCTGCATTGCATACCGGTTCATCCAAAATGACTAACTTAGGGTCACCAATAAGGGCAATTGCAACACTCAGACGACGTTTCATTCCTCCACTGTAACTTCCAGCTCTCACTTTGGCTGCATCTGTGAGTCTCACCTCTGCCAACGACGTCTGGGTAATCTACATTTTTTCAGAGCTAGAATTAGAAGGAACGAGTAGCAGTACTCCGAATAGTTAATTTCAAATATTACACATGCCGTGCGTGCATGCACACATAGTAATTACTTCTACAGAACAATTTCAGGCCTGGAGGAGACATACTGATTTTATGGAAGCTGGGGACAGGCCTTTAATAGTAGCAAAGAGTTGAAGGTGTTCTTGACCAGACAGTGCATCCCATAGGATATCAAACTGCAGATTAGAATTTCAGTAACTGGTCAGTCATCTTTTAACGAGGAGAGAAGAGAAAGTCATTTCATTTGAAAATCATATTTATGCATTCCTTATGTGCTTAGATAGACATCCGTACATGAAAAACATATATGTGGGGGTAGAGAGAGAAAGAGAGAGAAACACCTGAGGACATACTCCTATAAGCTTTCGAATGTTTGACATGCCAGTAGAACTTCGGATGGAATGTCCATAAATCAAAGCTGTTAAAGAAGTTTAAAACGTTAACATATTCTTCTTGATTAATTATCGACATTTTGATTAATGAATGTTCAATGTTGTAGTTAAAGAGAGAGAGAGAGAGAGAGAGAGAATCACCATCTCCATTAGTTACTGGAGTTATCCCCGTCAGACAATTAATAGCTGTAGTTTTTCCAGCTCCATTGGGCCCTAGAAGACAAAATAACTGATCTTTTGCAAAGTTCACCCACAAACCCTGGAAATAATATAAGAATAACACATTAATCATATTTCCAAATATAGGTCAATCTCCACATGAAAACAGATTACATTCTCCACCATGTTGCCTTATTGAAAAACGAAATATTTGAGACACTCAAATAAAATAATAAAATAGCGGGAAAGGTTCAGGAAAACAGAAAATTGATCATCACTATTCCAAAAGAGATCAAGTTGAGAAGATTTCAATGTGTTTGTATGAATATTCTGTAGAATTGCACCCAAATCACATAGGAAAAAGTTATTTTCATAAACCAAATAATTCCAAGTGCTTAAGAGATGAGAAGCCGTTTTGTCTGAACCATGAATAATGCACATGCCCATCTTTGCCTTTTCCTGACTCTTGAGATTTCACCTTTAATGAGGAAGAATGGGGAGTAACAATCAAACACATGATTGCTTAGTCATAGAAGCTCTAATGTCATGTCATGAATTAACGATCCCAAAAGCTTAAGTGTCAGATGAAGTCACGTGAATGATTTTATATATAACAGGATTCATCAATGAAAAATTGTTGTACGAAAACAGACAGGAACAACTTTTATTCTAATCACCCCAATTTCGAAGATAAAAGTTTTAATAGGAAATGCTTTACCTTAACAGCATTGTAAGGAGTACTCCTTTTACATTTACAGCAGCACCCAATGTTTAGTGTACCAGGATATGTCTTTGCAAGGCCATGTATCTGAACAGCAACATTTGCGTCAACCACACCTTCTGTTAGTTGCTGTTTCACTTTGTTTTCTTCTTCAAGGACATCTTCATCATCTGGAGTAATTTGCTCATGGCGTGGGGCTGAACCTACACAACTACAAACCCCACCCTCTACAAAACGAAGATAAGGAGATGGGGAAGAAGAGTTAAGTCATAAAGAGCAGGAAAGAAATAAAAAAACACTCCTTGAAGCACAAAATTAATCACCTTTCACTTTTTGGCCTCCTTTTCCCATCCAGTAACTAGGATTTAGAAAGTATATTATCGATTTCCTCACCCCTGATGCATTTGGGATTATGTTGTCAAAGTAGATGGCCAGAACAAACCAGAGAAAGAACGTAACCACAAGCCATATATAAATATCATTCTGTCAATGAAAAAAAATAAAATATACTAACTGTTGCAGTGACACAACTAATGCTTGAGGGGCAGGTAGGGATAAAAGAAAATGGAGAACTGCAGAACAGAAAGTGAAATGTAAAAGCAAAATTGAAGTGGGTTTTGGTGTTGGGATTTAGAGGTCCATCATTGCTTACAATTGTTATCACACAATTATCATCATTAGCAGCACATTCCCCCCGTTTACTCCAGCTAATACCATCATCTTCAGGAGTAGCAACTGCATCTGAAAGCACTTGTAATGCTTGAGCAAAAGGATTAGGTGGGAATAATGACCAAACATTTCGGAAAGTTTTGGAGATGCTATCTGAGTAAGGAAATCCTGCTTGTACAACAAGCTGAAAACAGAAAATAAAAGAAAAAAAAAATATGAGCATTCCTTCTTTCTGCTTCTCAATAAACCTTCTCCAGAAAGTAAGAAAAGGATTCATGCCTGAGTCACAAAGCCCACAATAAATATAGAAAATCCCACTGTTGTTGCCGAAGATGATTTCCGAATGAAAGCAGATAACATGAAGGCTAAGCCAGTCTACAATAAACATAGAAGCTACTTATGGGTTATATAATCCCAATAAAAAAGATGAAGGTTTAAGCAGAAACTAAACAGGAATGTTCTCACCATATTGAGTTCAAAAAGGAAGAACAAAAGGAACAGGATCGCAAAACTGTTTTTCAAGAAAAAACTAAACTGGAACATCATTCCAAAGAGAACTATGAGGAGGGACGATATAATCGTGACAACAGTTTCCCAAGTAAGCCAGGATAACCAGTAAGCAGCATCATAAAGGCCCATCATGGTCATTGCCTGTGCCAACAAAAAAGTCCACAAAATAACAATTCCAATTAGAAAATGATGACAATTTCATAGGGTCAATGACATATCCATATATCATGAACAGTTTACCCCAAAAGTTTAAGCTATTAGCTGAAAAATCAGAAACGATTTTGAGCTTTGTTTTATCCTTCTACTTATCATCTTAATAATTCTCTTATTATATTATAAAGTAAACATAAAATGAAAAAACGTAAAGGTATTTATTATCTTGAACACAAAAAATATTTAATTTTTTTCCTTTTAATAATTAAAAAGATTTGTAAAAACAGAAGGTAAAGAATTTAGAATTATTTTACGATTTTAACTAAATGTCTAACACCGCATTAATTACCTGGCGAAGTTTAAGCTCTTTCTCTGTGACCAAAGAGCTAATCTGAAGAACAAAATTAAACATGGCAATTGCGAGGAAAAACGCTGGACCAATTGAACCCACGGCAGAGAAAGGGATCCGAGCAGGGTGTGCGAATTCCCTCAAAAACACATTCCAACTGAAATTCGAGTCTGAATTATCATTTGAAGCCACAAATTAGATCGCAGCTATTCGAACGTTTCAAATACCAACAGAATTCAATCAAATAACAAACATTTATGTTTCATACATACCTCCAATTAGGTATCTTGCAATTTCACGCTCCGCAGCAAGCTGAAGAGGAAGTTGGAACGAAGCAGTAGGATCTTCATATTTTCCTCGTTTCGGAAGAGTAGTCGAATTCGTTTGAATACCATAGCTTATAACGGTGTCGTTTTTCTCCACGAAATGAAGAGCCCCTGCAACGCGCATAGGGTTACTCAAAAGCCACGCATCCACTTCACCTTTATCCCCAAACGACAACACCTGCGGCACAAAACGCTCAATTATTCATATCATTCACATTGAATCGTTAATTATTTGGTACCTTAGAGGGAGGTATGGGCCTGCCGGGGTTGTTGTTCATGATGCGGTCCACAATGGTGTGAAACTTTGCGTTTTGGTCACCGCTCCAAACGAAGTCGTAGCATGGAAGCTTTATGAAGTACTTGCTTTCGCAAGGAGTGATAGGAGGAGAGGGTTGATTGGGAGGGTTTGTGACTTTTTTATACGCAGAAGAGGTTGATGTTTGAGCCTTAATTGCCTTGTCGATTGCAAATATGAGAAAGATGAACATTAGAGGAGACAAGAGTTGAAGCAGAGTAGCTCTCTTGTTTCGCCACGATAATAAAAGGTTCTTTTTCAACAGTGCTTTGTATTGTTGCGCCACCAGCGTGAACCCGCGGGTGGTAGCCATTTCTCTCTTCTTTTCTCTTTCACTAGAGTTGAGAGTGTGGGGTGAGAAGGAGAAGAATGATGTTATCTTGGAAGAATGCTGGGAATATTAATTAATATATAGTTGGGGCTACGTGAGAAATTCTCTCTTTTGTATCGGAATGGGAAGGGATGCAACATCTTAACTTAAATGGTAGTTCCAAGAAGGGAAAGCGCGGGTTTTTCCTTTCTTTCTCCGTTGTCATTCTTGCAGGAGAGAGAACAAATATCGCTGACGCAATCGTCCTCGTTGTTTGTTGTTTGGCATTTGACTTATCTACATTTACCAACTCTGCCATTCGTGTTTTCTAACCCGCAAAGTTTGATTATATAATTTTTAATAAATTATTAAAAATATATTTCCAATAAAATCTAAAACTTTATTTTATTTATTTCAAAATTTTTAAAATATTAGCAACATAGTGCTAATATATTAAAAATAGACTTAATTGTATTTTTTTATTTTTATGTTTTAATATATGTTGATAGTATTTAATTTTTTTAACTATTCAAATTAAATTCTTCACTGAAAATTAAATTTTATCATATTATATTTTATATTATATTTAAATATTTTATAATATATTTTTTACTTGTATATATTAATAAAATTTTATACTTTAAAAAATAAAAAAACTGAACATGAGTAATTAAAATTAGAGACTAAGTTATAATATAAGAACTAAAAGTATAATTAAATTTAAAAATATTTTGTATTTTTTTACTCATGAAAATTCTTCCAAAACCTTAAAAAGTATTTTAAAAATTTGTATAGCGCATGCTGCTGCATACTAAGAATGATCACAGTGGATAAAATTTGGGTAGGGTGCTCCATGACCTCTTGTCATATCTGTAATTTATGTAAATTTTTATTTGAATTTATATTTTGGTGATCAATAATTGAACTCATTACTCATGCTTTAATTAATTAAATATTGTCTTTTATGATTTATCTGTTCAATAAATTAATAAATACAAATGTTAGTAATGATAAAAAGCATTAATCAAAAGTAAATTATGTAATTTAAATAAAAATATTTTAAAATAATAAAATATTAAAAATAAATTTATAATTTAATTATTTTTTATTTTTTAATTTTAAATTTTTAATTTTAAATTATAAATATAATAAATAATATATGTATGAGATAAATGAGTAGGATTGAATGGTATAATATTTATACTTACACTTGCACATGTATTTATAAATTTTTTGAATAATTGTTTATATTTAAAGTGAGACTTATTTAATGAATAAAATCTTAGGCGTTCAATAATTTTTAGAAATATTTATTGAATCTGACTCCGGTTATTGTCTCAACCTCCGGTTATTGTCTCAACCAGAAGGAACTCAAGTTAGAGCATGCCATAACAAAATTTTGGAAAAATATGAAGTCAAAGCTTGAAAACGCGTATACGTGCATATCCATACAGATTTCCATAATATTATTAATTATTATTTGAAAGATAAGTTATATAATATAATAAAAATAAAGTAAAATATGTTAAGTGAGTAATGATATCGATAGAGTTTTTTTTTTTTTTTTTTTTTTTTTTTTTAAAGCATCGTTAGAGTATTTATAAGTCATATTTTCTTTCTTTCTTTACTTTTTTTACTAATATTTTAAATATTACTAAAAATTATCACTTAATTTTCTATTACACCTTTCATCTGTATTAATGAATATCTCACTCACTTTCTCCATTTTCTTTATGTTTAGGGTTTTATACAAAAATTAAAAATATTTAATATTTTAAATTTTATATATAAAAATTACTTTTTTTTTCATATCCTTCATCTATTATACTAATTAATATCTCACTTATTTATTATTTTTCCAAATAGAAATTAATTTTGAGAAAAAATTCATTAATTTTATAAAATGATAATAATATAAACAAATTAAATTTGTTAAAATATTAAAGAGAAAAAAGATTAATTTTAAGCAAATAAAAGTGTCATTTTTATTAAAAAAATAAATTTATTACACCGTAAATAAAAATATAATAAATATTATTTTTATAATATTCTAGGTGCATAATTTTTATAATAAATTAGAATCAGTGACAGCCACAAAGAATTTGAATCCATGGTATCCAACCTACCAAGGGACATTTGGGTCATCTGGATGGGACGTGGTGAAGGACAAGTTAGTCACTATAGGAGTAGGTCATCAAAAGAGTTGACCATGGAATATATAAATAAAAAAATAAAACTATATTCAAATATTTCATTTTTTGAGTTTACGTGGGGTTGTTTACTACCCTGATTTCTGATAATTAGTGGCTGTTTGAGCTAGTCTGTACACACTTATCTAAGCACATTACATGAGAAAGAAAATTATCACTTTGACCACAACTTACTTGCACTTTAGGCAAGTAAGTTGTGCAAGTAAGTTCAGCCACAAATTGAATTTTATGCCTCTAAAATATTTTGTTGCTGTAAGGTATCCAATCCTGGTTATTTATAACTCAACTTTCCCACGATCGCTCCAGAAATCCATGTTCACAATATCTATTTATGTTCACATTGCTTCACACGGTAAAGAAATTTCCAAGCGCTTTCCTTGGAAAGAAAATTCTTCGCTCTTAAATATAAACAAAAAAATTCTTCGCTCTTAAAAAATTCTACACACCTAATATACTTTATAGTCAATGTATGCGTGATATACTGAATGGTGGCATGTGCCGCCCATTGATAAATGTAAATCTGTCGCTGCTGAGGGTTACAACCGCAAGTTGAATTATTAAAAATGATAAAAAAATAAATCATAGAATATTTAAAATCTATTAACGGTTGGTGTTCTACAAAAGCTGTATTCCCTTTAAATTTATTAATACTTTCAAATATTTAAAAATATTAAATTTTTTATATGCTTAATTTAATCAGATAAATACTTACAGTTTGTTTTTTGCTGAATGTGAGGAACTTTTTATTTAATAAATTATGAAAAATATTTTGAAGCTTTTACATCGAGAGAGATATAAAGTAATAAAAAAGTAAATTTGATAAATAAAGTGATATAATAATAAAGTAATATTAAATAAAAATAAGGTAAAGTAAAAAATATTAAATATTACATCAGATCCTATTTAGAAAAAATAAAAATTCAATAATCTAAGATTAATAGTTTATAAGAGAAATTAGTGTGCAGTTAATATAATTTTATAATGAATTAAAAATATATAAAAAATTAAAATTAATATATTTAAAAATAAGCATTATTTTTTATGATTAATTTTTTTAATAATTATTCCTTATAAATAAGATCGAGGCAGTCAATTTAAACCTTATTTAGATATTTATGAATCAAAATTGCAGATTATTATATTTTGGTTTCGTCGTGCAGTGGTGTGGAGTCGTTTTTATCAACTCCCTTATTCTTGTGTTCACAATCCATTTGTAAGTATTTGGTCAACACATTTTGAGGTGATTACATTTTCGTGTGCAGTTAGGCAAACGAAATCCAACAAGTAGACTTTAGTCATAACGGAACGGGCACTGTTATTTCATGGAAGTTGCATCTCCAAAATTATGTACGCGCCAATAGGAAATACTCCGTAGTTGCTTAAGTTTGAATTGTGCGATGTCACCAACATGGATCTCGGCGTATTTATAATTTCTGTCAAATCACAAAATGATTTAGTTAGAGAAGGGCATTGCAGTCCTTAGACCAAGGGCATATTCGAAAGATAAAAATTAGGCCATTTTGTTAATTAAGCTTAGACTAAGTTGGGATACCATTCTGGAAAATAAGCTAAGTTGAGGGGATAATTTAGTCACACACCAAAACCAAAACATCATATAAAACACCAACAGTTGAAGGTTTATACAAGTATAGGAAATCGAAAGTGTTTTCAAAAGTTGGAGGTTCACACAGTCATGGCAAATGAAAACAACTCAAACTCAACCAAGGAGCATGCGAGTTTCTGGACTCAAGCAAACGCTCTCCTTAGGAAGAATTTAACCTTTCAGGTAACTTCACTCTTTATAACATGTTTTTAATTTTCATGCTTTGTTTGTGATGTATGTATCTATGGCATTGTTTTCAGAAACGAAATGTGAAGACAACCGTTAGGCTGATCATGTTCCCCTTCGTGTTGTGTCTGTTGCTGCTTTTGATGCAAAAGCTGATTGATAATCAATTGAACAAGGCTGAGAACAAGTGTGGCTGCATTTGTAGGAAGACACAAGGGGACACATGTATAGAGCAGGTTTGTGGGATTCAGTACTCGGATTTGGACCAAGTTTCCACGTGTCCCATTCCCAATCCTCCAGAATGGCCACCTTTGTTGCAATTGCCGGCTCCACAATACCGAGCTGTGAGAACGAATGTTCTGCCCGTTTCGGATTTTCCAAACGCCTCCTGTAGGAGAAATGGCTCCTGCCCTGTCACTATGCTCTTCACTGGCACTAACCAATCATTTGGAGAAAGTATATAAATAAATGTTCTATATTGTTATCCCTTAAATTTAATGGTTTTCATAATGTCAACTTTAATTAATGATTTTAAATTCTTTAAAATATTACTTTTTTATTAAAAAGAAAAGCATTTGTTTCATTTTTGTACTCTTGTTGTAATAAATGTTTTTTTTTTCATATAAAATTATCAACTTTAAAATCAGTTTTAAAGACTGGAATATCGTTTTTTATTTTTTATTAAAAAAATTATATTTATTAAGTATTTATATATAAATACTTACTGTTTCAATAAAATCTTACTACTTTATAAATGTTTAAAATCAACACTATCAACTGGTGTTAACATATTTCTAAATTTAATTGTTTTTTTATTCAATTTTCTTACTTATTCTTTGAATGTCATGACTTTGTTTTCTCTTTTACAGTTATATCTGGGAATATGATTCCAAGTACCTTGAGTATAAATAACTCTGATATTATGGGTAGTTTGGCAACTAATGTCGTTGTGAGTTAATAATTTTAATTTATCATTTTCTCTAGCACGGGGAAATAGTTTTTGCTTTTTGGTTTAAATTTTATTTCACTTTTTCTATCAAAATATAGGGATCAGACTCAGCAACAGAGGACACCAATTTTCTGGACCCTGCTTTCTTTTCGGATCTTCCTATTTATTATCTGCAAAGCAAGTGCACACAGAACTCTACATTCTCCATTTCTGTCCAAATATCAACCATTAACAAGCAGCAAGGTATGAGATATCCTTGTATAGTGTATACTATATAGAAAATGTTTCTTTAATATTTGGTAACAGGAAACTGAATCAATGGACATGACTGTGCTACTGCTGCACACTGCTAGTCTGCTCTTTTATAATGAAAGTTGACAATGTATTGTGCAAGTCCTATCTATTAATCAAGAAGGCAATGCATGACTACAATAATCAGATAATGAAATTGCATGCTTTGAACTTCTCTTTTCAGTTGATAATTTAAGTAATTGCCTTTTTTCGTTTGGGTGAAATAAGTAATTAAATAAACTAAGTAAAATTATGACAATAATATTCCAAGGGAAATACAGGCAGTTACTTAGAATTGGCCTTTGGATTAAGTTGAATCCTCAGGTAAAGTGGTCATTGTGCATGCATGCGCTTGCTGGGGGTGGGGGTGGGTATCATGAACTGAACAGACACAAGCCCTTTATGGGTTTACACTGCTTCATATTATGGCTGTGCAAGATTAGTACATGCCTGTTCATGATAGGTTGACTGGTGATAATTGTATACTTTTTATTTTTAAGGATGTTGAGTTCTGGGATCATTGTGCCTTTCTCAAATACATTGTTTGCCATGTTATTCAGTGATATGACTTATCGATCTTATTGCTAATTGCAAAACATGGAATCATCAAAAGGGAGTATAGAAAAAAAAAAAAGAATCATTTATAAAATTTTCTTAACCTTGTTAGGAGACCACAATTGTGACCACAATGATAGTAATCTTGTGGTCCAGATGTGCTCCCACGAAGCATTTTGAATGTGTGCATATGGAGTATACCTGTAGTACTTTTTGTATATTGTTCTGTTGTCTTGGTTGGTTACACTCAAGGCTTGCATCTGATGTCTAGAAATTTTGCTACTAATTCAAGTTTGTTTTCTACTGGATCTAGTGGTAACATGTGCTCAGGGTTTACGTTTATGGCGTAATAGTTCTTCTGAGGTGAACGATGAGCTATATAAAGGTTACCGAAGAGGGAACCCAGAGAGACAGATTGATGAGATATCTGCAGGTAGGCAAATCATTTTATTCAATCTGCATATAGTCTGGAAGCAGGATGTGAATACTTAATTTTGTATTCTTTTGACAGGTTATGATTTTCTAAATTCAAATGAGAATAGATATAATGTAAGCATATGGTACAACTCAACCTACAAAAATGAAACTGGCTTTGGTACTATTTCATTGGCACGTATTCCTCGTTCAGTGAATCTGGTATACATCTAAAACTTTATTTTTTAAATTGTGCATCCTCAATTCTATTATTCTCATCCTTAATCTATTATTCTGTAATTGATATATCATTATGAAACAAAAGACACAGTCTTTGTTTATAAAATAACTACCACAACTTGCATTAGTTGTGAATCTATTGGAATTTAATTCATTGAAATATTAACTTTAAAAGGGAAATACATTCTTGAGCCATCAGTTCTGAAAAGAAACTTGCTTAATCATTACTATTTTTGAAATGCATAATTTGGACAGAAGATGTAAATAATCATGACATATGATTGTAAACTGCTACCTGTTATATGATCTTGATTTCCCTTTATATACATTTTCCCACCTGTCATTTTAATAACATTTGCAAAACTCTGTCTCTATTTTTTTTTTTTTTTTGTGCATCTGGTAGATTATGCTAGGTGTTACCACTAAAACAAGTTAAGAACTGTGAAAATGTTTTTCATTCAGATGCAAAAGTTTGTTTCTAAAATAAATTCATAGCGAAGACACTTGAGAAAACAAAACATGATCATAAGGTGTTCTGCTACTAACAGTGATTAGTTATCCTAAGACACTTCAAAAGGTATGGATCACCATACACTAAGTTGGAACACGTCACATATCTAATAAAGCATAAAATAAAATTAAACATTACAAAATAAGGATGTACATCAGAAATTTCAGCAGCAATAATGCTCCTTGAAATTTTTTATGCACTCCAAACAATTCTCTAAGTTTTTCAAATCTTTCTCTTAGGAGAGAGCTAGAGTTAGTATATCAGCAACTTAAATCTCTGAATTGCAATGAATTAACTTGGTCTCATCATTCTTAACAGCCTCACATACAACATGAAACTTCACTTAAATATGCTGATTTGCTATCCCAATAAATCTCAATAGCTTCCAGTTGCTGTACTCCCAAATTAAGTAGTATTTTCCTCAATGAAATAGCTTGGTTTGCTGCTGTAGTTGCTAGTGCTATTACATATTCGGCCTCAGCAATGGATTGAGTTTTAATTTCTTATTTCTTTGAATTCCAAGAGAACATACCAAAGCCTAAGGAAAAGGTATAACCACTTGTGCTTGTCAGGTCATCAAAGTTTCTCACCTAATCACTATCAGCATAGCCCAACAACCTTTCATTTTCAATTGCTTGAATCATATTCCAAACTGAGTATTGTTTTTCAAGTACCTAAGCACCCTCTTTGGTGCTTCAAAGTGTAATTTACTAGGATTTTGCATAAATCTTGAGAGTGCGATGACTGCATACATACTATCAGAGTTTCTATAGAGAAAAACATCAATTTTTTCAGCTCCATCATCCTTGGTGAGTTTCAAAGTCTGGGCTAAAGGAGTAGAAGTAGATTTGCAATTGTACATTCTGAACTACTATAAGACTTCACAAGCATACTTCTCTTAGTTCATAAAAATTCCCTCATCAAATTGATGCACGTCCAAGTCAATAAAATGATTCATTTCTTCTAAGGTAGATATTTCAAGCTGATTTTTATTCTTTCGATAATCTCCTGTATTTATTGTTTGACCATTCTTAATCACCAGTAAAACATCAACATATCAAGATACAATAAAAGAATTACCATTCAGCAGCCTTCTCCAATAAAGAGTAGCCTTATATTCACTCCTCCTAAAGCCTTGATGACAAAAGTAGTTATCAATTTTGTTGTAACAAGTTCTAGGTGCCTATTTTAGCCTAAACAAGGCTTTACAAAGCTTGTATGCTTTATCTTCACTACCTTTAACAACAAATCCTTTGGGTTGAGCAGCATAAATCTCTTTAGCTAGATTACCATTCAAGAATGCAAATTTGATATCTAAATGTCAAAATGTCCACTTAATTTGTGTAGCCAAAACTATTAAAACACAACACAAATAGTATCCATTCTTGCAACTAGAGCAAAAATTTCTAGGTAGCCTTTCCCGAATTGTTGAATGTATCCTATAACAACAAGTCTGAACTTGTATTTGTTGATGAATCCATTGCAGGTTTAATTTCACCCATATATCCATTTAATAGTGACATTCTTGCCTTTAGGTTTATCAAGCAACTACAAGTCTTGTTGTCTTCAACTGTCGTTATCTCGTCTTTCATGGTTTGGATCCATTCTTCAAGTTTGATAGCATATGCAAAGCTGGTAGGTTCAAAAATAGCAATGTTACATCTTTGACAAATTTCAGAAAGTGGTCTAGTATCTCTTACAAAATAGAGATCATCAATCTCTACTTCTTTCTCTTCATTTATACTCTCAAGAGTAGGAAAAATTGATTACTCATCGGCTTGAGAGGTTGTTTGTGGGCAAGTGTACTCATCGAAAAGTAATGAAAGTATTTTAAAATTAAGTTTTCGAAATATCGTCTCACAAGATTATTTTTAATTATTAAGAATTTTTTAAGTCAATTTTTTGAGATTAAAGAATACGAAAATAAAAATAAAGATTAAAATTAAATCAATTATCAATAAAATTAAGAGCAGGTAACGTAATACACATATTAGTTGAACTTATAGGAGAGGAACTTAGGAAATATGAGTTTACTTATTCAATCCTTTATATTATTCTTTTGTTTAACTCTTAAATTTAATTTCTTTGTAGTTACTAATCATTCATACAAATACTATTAATACTCAATGGTCATGTAATATTAATATTTTTTTTTCTAAACTAATATTCACAATGTTCATGCAAGATATTAATTTAAGAAAGTATAGAACATCTATGAACTTATTAATTTAATAACGATTGGAAGAGAAATATTACTTTAGTCCACTTAATCTTTTGTCTTGTTTTATCCTCTAGTTCTATTAAGTAATCAAAATATGGTTGTCTGACAATATAATTAATTAAAATTATATTATGAGTGATTAATTTACAACATATAATTATGCGCAACAAGATAAACACTAATCACGAAAGGAAATCAAACTTAGATTCAAACGTCAAAATCCCATAAACTCATGAACAAGAATTCTCATTGTCCTATCTATGAACTTAGTTACTCATATTAAAAAAAAGAACTAAAACAATCGTAAACAAAGTTATAGAGAAAAACAAATTAGATTATCTTCAAGGATTGGGGATAAGATGAGTTCTCGGTCTTCAAGTATGGTCGTTCATAGCTACAAGTCTCGCCAAGAGTGTGTCGACGATCACGTGAAAGAGAGTTGAGTCCAATGTGTGGAAGAGTCGAGATGAAAAGTGTCAAGGATCAAAAACGGGGTGTGTAAGTTGTGTTTTTCTTGCTGCGCACGAGGTTTCCTTTAATAGGATTTAAAAACTCTAGAATTTCTTCAAAGTTGAGTACTCGCAAGTGAGCACGACTGTGCCATAGCTTAAACTTGAAGCATGGGCGTGCTGGTTTATATGCATGGCCATGCATCATATTGAAGAATGGGCGTAGTGTGTGCTTGTGGACTGGGCATGCGTTATTTAGATTGACATGATTTTCTTGAGTTTGCACCTAAAACATCTCAGTCTCATGTATCTTCAACGTGTTTGACTGTAGCAAAATTGAGAGAAATTAGTGTATAGATCTATTCAAATTAAGAATAGGTACGTATAAACATGCTGGAAAAGTGTGTCAAAATATGAACTTATCAGAGGTCTCTCACTTCCAACAAGGATCTTCATCCACCTTGTGAGATATAGCCTACTTAAATGCTTTTTTTACCTTCTCATCCAGTTTGTTTCTTTCACATCTGGTACATGAGTGTAATAAAGTGAACCAAACAAAGTTAGGTACTTTATAGATGGCTTGATGCCTCCCCAAGCTTCAATAGATCTCATCTCCTGTACAACCCTTGAAGGAAGCCTGTTCTGGAGGTATATACGATCATGTACTGCCTTTGTCCAAAAAGACTTTGGGGCAATTTCTTCTCAAAAGTCACGCATCTAGACATTTCAAGAACTGATTTGTCCTTTCTCTCTCTTACCACATTCTGTTGTCATGAATACTCTGTGTAAGTTGATGCTCAATTCCCAAATCATTGCAAAACCTTTTAAATTCAGTAAAGGTATACTCTTTTTGTTGTCAATTCTGAGTTTCTTTAAGTACCACTTTGGGCAGTGATTACTAACATTGATTACTTATCCTACGATACTCCAAAAGGTTTGGCTCACCATACACTAAGTTAGAACACATGTCACATATCTAATAAAATATAAAATAAAATTAAACATCATAAAATAATGGTGTACATAAAAAATTTCAGCAGCATATGGACTGACATCTAGTATCTACTCACTTCACTTGCAGGTATCAAATGCCTACCTACAGTTTTTGCTCGGAACTGGTACCAAAATGTTGTTTGAGTTTGTAAAGGAAATGCCAAAACCTGAGACCCCAACTAAGTTTGATTTGGCTTCGCTTCTGGGTGGTCTCTTCTTTACATGGGTCATCCTACAACTTTTCCCTGTGAGTATATTATATAATTTTTTCTCTCTAAGTACATTACATATTACATAAATGTGTGAAGAAATATATTTGCGATGAGCTAAGTTGTTTGTAAGAATAGAATTTAACAGAAATAAGAGGAAAGTAATGACATTTTTCACCGAATGGGTTTGAATTAGGCCTCCCATTCCTACTTCCTCCTGTATCATTTTTATACGTGTGTAACCATCTTTTGGGATGAGTTTAGTTTCACCTGGAACAATAAATGATGTGAAGTGTAAGTAAAAAATTATATTTAATACTTATTGTGTGAACAAGGAAGAATTTATTTTCTAGTGTACTTTTTGAACACGTGTGTTTTTCAATGTAGATTGTCCTGACATCGCTAGTTTATGAGAGGCAACAAAAATTAAGAATCATGATGAAAATGCATGGCCTTGGTGATGGTCCATATTGGATGATTTCATATGGTTATTTTCTTGCCATATCCATTGTCTACATGCTGTGTTTTGTAATATTTGGCTCAGTCATAGGTAAGAATGCAAGTGAACTCTTCATTTTTTGGCATTTTCCATTTCTCTTTAATGTAACTACCTTTTTTTTTTCTTTTATTTTGCAGGGTTAAAATTCTTTACTTTGAATGACTACAGCATCCAATTCGTGTTTTATTTCCTCTATATAAATTTACAAATTTCACTGGCATTTCTATTGGCTTCCATGTTTTCAAATGTTAAGACCGCTACAGGTTTGACGATGGCAACACAATGCTGTTAATATTTTCTTTTGTCAGATTTGATTACTGACGTTTTGTTATTTTGATAATTGCAGTAATTGCATATATAGGTGTGTTTGGAACTGGGTTATTAGCTGGCTATCTTTTCCAATTTTTTGTTCAAGATACATCCTTTCCGAGTAAGTCATATGACTGAGAAATAACTTCCACATCTTGGGTCATTTACATTATTATTCGTATATATATTATAATGGGGTTATTTCAGAGGAATTATCTTAGGATTGATGCCTATTGTACTATGTCACAATTCAGAATCAGATAGTTATCTGCATGAATAATATTTTTAATAATCCCAATAACTAAAGCCTTATTAATTCAAATAATTGCTTCTGTTCTTAATAAATTTGTGGAAAAATCACAACTATTATTAACATGTTCTTAATTATACCTAAAATGGAAATATTCTTACTTTAAATTTCTTTGATGTAATTTTCCCTTTAAAATTTTATTAACCACTTTAAGGAACAGAAAATTGAAATAAAGTAATTGTTGAATGCAACACAACAAAAATTGACATCTGGTGCCCTCATCCCCTTTTCAGCTTTTCCAAACATGTTATTGGCCCCCTAATCATTGTAAGAATTATTGTTCAAGTGATTAGAAACCTGATTCATCTCTAATTCAGGCAGAAGGGTAGTTGTAGCCTATTTTTCCTTATAAAGCAGGCCCACCAATTTGTTAATAACAATATAATATAGCTGCTTTGCTGCTAAGCTTTGTCCATCCACCACTGTGCTAGTAGCCTATTTAGCAACTGATGAAGTTCTTTGTGGAGATTTAATTTTTGTGTTTTACTAACAGCAAGAAAAGGAATAGGAGATTTTGTTTTGGACATGATGAGGAGAGTTGTGCTGCTACTTTATTAGCAATGTGATGTTTCTCTGAATCAATTCATGATGATGAATTATATGAGTTGTCATTTTAAGGTTGCATCGATAATTGAAGGGAATTCTGATGTATCACTATCAATTTTCAGCAAGTATTCCATTTCCTAAGCTAAATGAAAATGGACTAATATGACCATTGTGATTAGAATTTAAATCAACAAAGATTTTTTGCTAGTCATCTTATGTGTTATGTGCTGACTTGTTGGCACTTTCTAACCTATCTTCTGGTTTGTTGATTTCCTGTACAATTTCCTCAGGAGGGTGGATCATTGTTATGGAGTTGTATCCTGGATTTGCTTTATATCGTGGGTTGTATGAGTTTTCACAAGCTTCCTTTAATGGAGATGCTTCGGGGACTCATGGTATGCGGTGGGGAGATCTGAGTGATAGCACAAATGGAATGAAAGAGGTCTTGATTATCATTTTTGTGGAGTGGCTCTTGGTTCTTTTTTTTGCTTATTATATCGATCAAGTTTTGTCTTCTGGAAGAGGGAAAAGTCCTCTTTTTTTCTTGAAAGGATTTCAAAAGAAGCCTCCATCTTTTCGAAAGCCTAGCATCCAGAGGCAGGGATCTAAAGTTTTTGTCCAGACAGAGAAACCTGATGTCAGTCAAGAGGTGAATTTTACTTGCATTGAATACTAATTATTATGTGTTCGCCTACTGGCTTTAGAAACTAGGAACATAATGTCCATCAACAAGTCAACTTCACTAGTTTTTGAAATTGATGTGATGGAGTTGCCTTAGTGAGGAGTGGTTGTGTCAAATATAATACTAGAGTAACTTGGGACAGGTAGGTGAAATTTTAATTATTTAGGATTCCATCAGAGAAGCAATTAACTTTCTTCAATCCTAATCTTTTAATTTTAAACATTGTAGTCTTCTAGATTCTAGGGAAAGAATGTATGATGAAGGTAAAGTAGAATTTTTATTAGTTTGTATCTGTAGCATAAATCTTTATTTAAAATGGGGGGATCTATAGTATAATTCTAAACAGTATATTTTTACTGAAAGTACTTGACGTGGTTGTATCTTAGTCACACGTGTGATGTGTTATCTTTCTTCTTTTTCTCTTCAGAGGGAGAAGGTGGAGCAATTGCTACTTGAACCAACAATAAATCATGCAATTATATGTGACAACATGAGAAAGGTCTATCCAGGGAGGGACGGTAACCCAGAGAAAAATGCAGTGAGAGGGTTGTCTCTTGCTTTGCCTCAAGGAGAATGCTTTGGTATGCTTGGTCCAAATGGTGCAGGGAAGACTTCTTTCATCAATATGGTCAGTTGAAGTTGATTTTCATCAGAAATATACATTTTTCGAGAACTCCTTGCATTTCTTTCCCCTCTCTTTCTTTTCCCTAAAAAAAAATATAAGATCTGGAAAACTTGTTCAGTTGCTGAAGCTCACATTAGAGGAAAGAACTTACATGAATTCTAAATTAACTTAAAAGGAGTATCTTTTCTCTATCGAGGAAAACTGCCTTTTATCCAAAGATGTATGAATTTACACAATGGACCTTTGATTGGTTTACTTCATTATGTTTAGTATGTTATGAAATTTTTGTAGACTTCTATGAATCTTTTATTTTCCTCGGCTGGTTTTCTCTTCAATTCATAAATCTAATCAGTTTGTATATGCTTCCAGATGATTGGTCTTACGAAGCCAACCTCTGGTACAGCTTTTGTTCAAGGTCTTGACATAAGAGCTGATATGGATGGCATATATACTAGCATGGGCGTATGCCCACAGCATGAGTAAGCTGGAATTTCTTCCAATTTTAATTTTTTTTTTCTGTTTGATTTTAAATTCATAGCAATTGAATTTTTTTGCATATTTTTTTCTTTTGTTATTTTAGCTTGCTTTGGGAAACCCTGACAGGAAGAGAGCACCTGCTCTTTTATGGCAGACTTAAAAATCTTGAAGGTTCAGCCTTAACACAAGTAAGTCAATTTGTGATTATAACTGGAGAGAGTTTGAAATTGAAAATCTTGCTTACTAGATTAAGATAAAGAGGTCAATGGCCAATCATATATCTATTTGTGTCCGAAATTTTAACTATTTTGCAACAAAGGCGTTGGCCAATTCCAATTTTAAAAATGTTTAGCAATTTAGAGCTTGTGTAATGGGTTAATATAACTAAAGAGTATGAATTACCATTTGGGGAGGGGGGATATGTTAATATTAAAGGAATTTAAACATCTTGCTAATATATTTTTGTCAAGAGGATATGGATCCTAGATTGCAAGACTATAGTGTAGTTACAAGTTTTGTAAGACAAGACACAAGAAAATTTCAGCTTCAAATCTAACGCTGCAGGCAGTGGAAGAATCTTTGAAAAGTGTAAACCTTTTTTATGGAGGAGTTGCTGATAAACAAGCAGGAAAATACAGTGGAGGAATGAAGAGGAGGCTTAGTGTTGCAATTTCACTGATTGGAGATCCTAAAGTATGTTTTCTTTTAATTTTAATCTGTTTTTGTATAACTACTTTTTGAAGTTTTTTTAGAAGATTCGCATCGTGTTTTCTTATTCTGCTTGCGCTAAAAATTTTGTAAGGTTGTTTATATGGATGAGCCAAGCACTGGACTAGACCCTGCATCAAGAAACAACTTATGGAATGTTGTTAAGCGTGCAAAACAGGATCGTGCAATCATTCTTACCAGTACTCGCTCTTGATCTCTTGTGGTTTTTGAAGCATAGATATAAGTTGTTGTGTTAATTTACTATACGATCTGCTTGCTGTATATGATTTAAGTTATATCAGACAGCTTTTCTATTTATTTGGTTTTAATAACATGGATGTGCTCTCTCTCTCTACATATAGATTGATAAAACTTGTTTTCATATACTTTTCAGCACATTCCATGGAAGAGGCAGAAGTCCTATGCGATCGATTAGGAATTTTCGTAGATGGAAACTTGCAGTGCATAGGAAATCCAAAGGAGGTAACATTGCTTAAATTATAATGATTCATCAAAATCAAATCATTTATAAAAGAAGGCTTAAAGCACATAGACTGAAACTTCATGTCAGTATGTGGTTCATATGCATTGATTGCAACTATAAAATCCATACTGGTTAAGTTATTCAGTATGCTCTTTCAGTGTTCTCTTTTTTACTGCCGTGCGACTTTTTTTAATACTTTTTTTGGTTTATCATAGTTGAAAGCCAGATATGGAGGAACTTATGTGTTCACAATGACAACATCTGTGGATCATGAAAATGATGTAGAGAACTTGGTGCAGCAGCTTTCTTCAAATGCTAACAAGATATACCATATCTCTGGTACTCAAAAGTTTGAGCTACCAAAAGACGAGGTTAGGATAGCAAATGTATTCCGAGCGGTTGAAACCGCAAAGAAAAATTTCACAGTTTCTGCGTGGGGTTTAGCTGATACCACATTGGAAGATGTCTTCATTAAGGTTGCACGTGGGGCCCAGGCATTTGACACCTTGTCATAATTTCACACTAGTATATGTCCTCTCTCTCCCAGAATTTAGTTTTGACCGAGTTTAGTAAAGTCATGTAATCTATGCAGTTAGCTTTAAGTAGATAAAACTTTAATTGTTGTATAATGTATTGTTAGTTTATGCAGGTTAAGTGGTATTTTCACATCTAGTGTCTTTAGTGTGTATATATCAACATTGTTTTATATTATATCCCTTCTACACCGGTTGCCCTGCACTAAAACAAAGTAAAATCTCAAGTTCTCTGTTGTAAAATTTGTATACAATTGCGTATTTAGCAACGAATGCAAGTGTTCGTTTATTTTGTTACAGCTACAAAACTAGCTTTGGAATCGCAAAGCTATCCTTTGTAAGTAACTTTTGTTTCAAAATCAATTTTGGTGAAAACAAGCATGCACTCTATCTCTACAGACATTGAGTGACATAAGAAAATGTTTATTTTGGTTTTATCTAACCCCTTCCTCCTTCAATTTAAAAAATTGAGAACGAATGACATGGGCATGGCAAATTCATGCTTAGCAAACAATTTACAAATTGATAAATGTCTAAATGCTACTGAAAATTTTCAAGTATCCAATTGAAATAGAAAATAAGACAATGCCATAAAACAGGTAATTGGTGGGTGGGGTTCATGGAATGAAATTTTAGTGCTCGGTCATACTGAGAATTCAATCCTACCCTCACTTAAATTATAATATGTAGATTATTTTTACAAAAATTTATTTTTTAGGTGACATCAAATGTTTTTTCATTAACGAAGATTTCTTGGTTTTACTTTTCTATTTCAAATAAACTAGTGAATTTTTTTCGTTTTCTAGGTATTATTGAATAAAAAAACAATTAAACAAGTAATCAAAATATATCATGATTACTTCAAAATTTAAAAAAGAGAAAGATACTGTAATTATTAATAATAAATAATTATTAATAATAAATACTCTATTATATTAGATAAAATTAAATAAGAAATAAATTTAAATAAAAAATAAAAATTTCAAATCTTAAGTTAATTTTGAAAAAAACAAATGTTTGATGTAAAAAAATTTACTTGACACAATAATTAACTCAAAGTGCTAGTGTTGAATATGAACGGCAGTGGGTGAGTAGACGGGTTAGGTATTATAATACTCATCTTCATATTTGCATTTTAAAAAATATCCGTATTCAGCTTCATACTTGCGTGGGTAGTAACTTTAATTTTTATACTCATACCCTTTGGGTATGACATACCTATATTTGCATCTACTACTTAGAGTTTAGGGTTTAGCATACATATATTCGCATACCGATACTACTTATGCTTGTCTAAGAATAAAAAAAATACTTATGAAGAAAAATTTGCCTATACAACTTCACATAAGTAACATAATATTATAAAAATTCAATTATTTAGAAATTATAAGCGCAATTAAACACATAAGTTATTTACCGGTGATGACCCTATCTCACGTGAGATCCGATTAAATGATGATGACATTGAATTGGGCAAGGACGAGATGTGTATGTACAATGGTTTGCCTCTCGTGTGGTGGGATCTTCACACTAGGTAACCTCTTGTGGTAGTTTGGGCGACTAACTTTGGCGATTCATGATTTCTATAACAGATTTAAAACGTTGATAATAAGAGTAAGACTAGGGATAAGAGTAAGACTAAGGTAGAGAAACTGAAATACTAAATGATAATGAGAAATGGATACATAGCATATTCCTTTTTTTAATATTTGAATTTAAAATTGAAAGAAAAATAATAAATTTAATTGAAATATATATATATATATATATATATATATATATATATATATATGAGACTAATATGTTTAACCCACGTAAGGTACAAAAGTATTTTGTAAAAAATTAAAATTAATTTGAAAAATAATTTTAATAAATTAAATATTTATAATTTATATAAATTTTAAAGAAATAATTTGAATAAAAAATAAATAGTTACAATAAAATCTTGTAATGAAAAAATATGTGTATATATCAAAAAAATTATATTCTTCTATTCAAAGAAAAAATTATTTAATATGTAAATTATAATAAAAATAAAACAAACAGAAATAAAAAATAAAAATATTTTTATATTTTATATATTTTCAAAAATTTATTTGAATGTAAATAAATAATAAAAATAATATTATTTAAATTCAATAAATTATAGTTATGTTTGTAAAGCACATGTTGCATAAGAAAAATGTTATTTTAAATTAAAATATAAAAAATAAAATTTAAATATTAACAATAAATGAGAAATCATAAAAAAAATATTCATATTAGATAAAAGTCTATAAATTTGAATTTGAATAAATTTAATTTTATAGAATTAATTTTATTTATAAATAAATATAATTGACATATTTTATATTTAAAATTTTTTATTTGAAAATAAGTTTGTAACAATTTTAAGTATAAATATTTTATCTCAATAAAATAAATACAGTTTATCATATTAACTTAAAAATTAATAATAGTATAAATTTGTCAAAATACAGATTGAAAGATACGTATCTTCAAACCATAAATAATACAGTTGTTTTCTCTTCAAAATTAAACATTCATTAGGTATTTTTTTTAATTCAATCACTTTAAATTTTATACTATAAATTTTTTATAAATCTAATTAAATTAAAAAATTTCTCAATAATTTATTTTTATTTAATATAATAAAATATTTATTATTAATAAATATTTTTGAAAAAATATTAAATTAAAAACATTTAATATATATATATACAGATATTAATTTTTATAAAATAAAAAAATAAATTTAAAAGGAATTCATTAATTTGTCAAAATTTCTTATAAAATAAGAGCTACTTTTTGTTATTGATAAATGTATAGCTACTAATTATAAAAATTGTACATTTTAGATACGAAGTTAGTTATGAATTTAGTTTTTTTTTTAATTTTATTTTAATAATTTTTTATATATAATTGTTTTTAAAAGTAATTTTTTTTATCTTATTTTAAGAAAACTAGTTATTCCAACTAAAAACAACACGAATGAAATTAAAAACAGGATGAAGGATCTGAACAATAACAAATAACGTATTTTTTGATATTCTATTACATGATATATCAGTATCTGTCTTGATAAAAAAACTACATTCATATTTGATTAATTTCCTGAATTTTCTGTGAATAAATATATTTTAGATTCAAAATCTAATTTCAATTTTCATATATATATATATATATATATATATATTAGGATTGGGTAAAAAAATCGACCCCCAACCAATTTCTTTTTCTTTATTCATGAAATAACTTTTATTAACTAGCACTATTTTAATGTAAACCTTTAAGAATAATTCATTTAATTGATTCCAAATCTAAAAAAATATGAGATTTTCTACTTTCTGTGTCTAACAAATCTTGTTTTTTTGAACATGAAGAAATCAAGAAGTTGTCTTGAGTTTGATTGATTAATATATAGTAAAAATTTCTTCCAAAAGAAGAGTTTATTAATTAAACTTTTCACTACTTCGATTTATGAACTATTTTAAGAATTTAAAATATGTCTTTATATTTTTGTGATAGATTTTAAAAAGAGATGTAATATAATAATTTCTTTGCAAGTCTTTTATTCCAATACTATTATAGCCTAAGCAGGCTAAACACAGAGTTTTGAGGAGACATATCTCTATATTTTAAAAGTTTATAAGTAAGTCTCTATAATTAATATTTTTTTATTAGATTTGTTGAAAACAAAGACTTGTACATTATCCGAATGGCTAACAAAAAAGAAAAAACAGTGAGAATAACCTATTAATTATACACTATATGAAGATTCTCAAATCAGAATTCTGTTTTTATCTTATTTTCTCTACCTATATAATAATTTTTTTATATATAATTATTTTTAAAAATAATTTCTTTTTATCTTATACTAAGATAACTAGTTATTCGAACTAAAAAAACATGGATGAAATTAAAAACAAGACAAAAGACCAAAATAAATAATGTATTCTTCGATGTTCCATTACACGATGTATCAGTATCTGTTTTGATCGCAAAACTACATTCATATTTATGATTAATCTCTTAAATTTTTAATGAATAAATATATTTTGGATTCAAAATACAATTTTAATTTATATATATATTATATTAGGATTGAGTAAAAAAATCAACCTCCAACCAATTTCTTTTTCTTTATTCATGAAGTAACTTTTATCAACTACCATTATTTTAATTTAAAGAGTAATCCATTTTATTGATTCCAAAAAGTTGTCGTTGAGTTTGATTAATTAATTTATAGTAATTTTTTTTTATAGTCTAAGTAGACTAAACATTTGAGGGGACAATGTCTCTATATTTTAAAAGTTGATCAATAAGTCTCTACAATCAATATTTTTTTGTTAGACTTTATTAAGAATAAGGAATTGTTTAAATAAAAGAACTTAAATAATTCAAAGTCAATCTCTATATATAATTTTTGAAATTTTTAAATCAGAATGTTTTTATGATATTTTAAAAAAAGTGTTTTTAGGTGTTAATTTTCTCTTGACAAGTGTTGACCATTTAATTTTTCAAAATTCAATCTTAATTTAAATTTTATATTTAAAAATTTTAAAATTTATTTTTGATTTTAAAATTTTTATATCTTAAATTTAATCTTATTCAGTCTGTCTCTGTATAATCTGAGTGCTATTTCTTAATCAAGAATATCTATTAGAAGCTATCTTAGATGTTAGCAATTTTAGAAATTTATTTCTTTATCTCTTGATCTTAATTTAAACTTTAAATATTTTGATAATTATTTTTAATTTAATTTTTTTTATATATTTAATTTGTCTTTTTTATTTGTCTACAAAAATTGTAGGAGAAGATAGGGATTTTCTATTTTAAGATAAAATAAGCCATTCAACTTAAAAAAGTATTATTTAATAATAATAATAATACCTGTATAGTACATCATCAATAATGTAGTATATATATATATATATATATAATTTATAAAATTTTTAAAAGTTGTAAAATATATTTTAAAATTTCATAAAAAATTATTTCAATTTAATAATAGCTATGCGTTAAAGCTAGATTAACAGAATAGGCAGTAGATTTTGAGATATTTTATCCATTTACTAATTCAAAACCAATTTGACAGGAGTTAACATTATCCTAAGGGCTAACAAATAAACAGTGAGAATAACCTATTAATTATACACTATCTTCAAAAGAAGATTCCCAAAACAGAATTCTGTTTTTATCTTATTTTCTCTGCTGTATATATTTCCATGTTTTGAGTTTAAGATTCACAAAGCATTATAGAAAAACAAATTTTCTTCACACAATGTTCAAGTCCTTCTTGTTTGCAACTTTTCTCTTGGCACTTCTGCTCATTGCTCAAGCACGTGAAGATGATAAAAACATTGGGCTTTATCAACTCAAAAGAGGAAATATGCAGTTGAATTTTACAAACTATGGTGCAACAATTATCTCTGTCATTCTCCCTGATAGACATGGTGTGTTTTATTTTATGTTCTTAATTATTTATATATACTGGCTGGCTTAGTCTATCCTTTCGAATAGAAATATCACGTCTTGTTTGTCTATTCAGGTAATTTAGCTGACGTTACGCTTGGCTACGATTTCATTCAGCAATACCAGGTATGATACTTCAATTGTTTTGTGATTCCATTAGCCAATTCAAAAGGAAAATTTGATTATATACCCCACCCCTCCTCCCCTCTCTTGATTTTGCTCTATCGTTCTCTATATTTTGTCTATATTTTGTTTGATTATTCTGTATATAGCATTTGATCAACCGAAATAATCTTTTACAAAAACAAAGAACCAAAGCATTGATCAAATTCAAATATAACCCAAAGTTTTCCTTTTCTTCTTTTTAATCATAGCACTTAATGTGTGGGATTAGTCTCTTGATTTGGTTCTATCATTCAGTAATATAACGATTTCTCAAACTCAAAGCCTTGAAATTTGCTGCAGAATGATACATGTTACTTCGGAGCCCTTATTGGACGTGTGGCAAATAGAATTGGACACGCTCAGTTCACTTTGGATGGCAAAACCTATCAATTGCCTGCTAATGATCACGGGAACACACTCCATGGTATGATAATCCATCAAATTATGTTCCTGCTAATTGCATATAACGCCATGAGATTATGCATAATCTCATTTTTTGATTACACTATTGATGTAGTTAATTATAACTGTTTGAAATATTTGTGTATACAAATATCAGGTGGAACAACAGGGTTCAGTGATGTTGTATGGACAGTAGAAAGCCACAGGGAAGATAGTCACATAACATTCACCTATGACAGTTGTGACAGAGAAGAAGGTATACTCTACTATTGTTTTGATTATAATTTAATTGTTTTTTGGTGTACAGAATCCACTCTAACATTATTATTTATTTTTCTCTCTGAATAACAAATTTCCAGGCTTCCCTGGCCAACTCAAAGTCTCTGTGACATACATGTTAATTGGAACAAACAAATTGGCTGTGAAAATGATTGCCAATCCAGTAGACAAAGCCACACCCGTGAATCTAGCACAGCACTCATACTGGAACCTGAGGGGTCACAACAGTGGTGACATCCTCTCACACAAAGTTCAGATTTTTGGGTCACATATCACACCAGTGGATGACAAGCTCATCCCAACTGGTGAAATCCAATCTGTGAAGGGCACCCCATATGATTTCCTTGAACCAAAAGAAGTGGGTAGCCAAATCAATGACCTTCCAGGTCTATATGACATGAACTATGTCCTTGACAAAGGTAGCTCCGAGCACTTTAGAAAGGTGGCAATAATAAAAGACGATGTCTCTGGTAGAAAGCTAGAGTTATGGTCAAACCAACCTGGTGTTCAGTTCTATACTAGTGGCATGTTGAAGGATACTAAGGGCAAAGATGGAGCCATTTATCATAAGCATGCTGGTATTGCCATGGAAACACAGGGTTTTCCTGATGCTGTCAATCGTCCAAATTTCCCATCACAGATTGTGCGTCCTGGGGAGACATACAAGCACTTCATGGTCTACAGATTCACAGCTGAATAATTTGAATTTGTGAATTTTCTGATTCATTTTATGTGCAGCATGTACTTTGAATCATGATTAGCGGAACTGAGCCTATAAACTAAATCTTTATCCTATGTTTCCGTGGTTATGATATAAATAAATTATTAAGAATAACCGTGTCTTTGCATATCTGAAAATTTCATTCATATACTATGCTTTTAATCTCTTTGGTTTACTTTTCTTTTAATTTGTCAACTAGTTTGGGAAAAAAAGGAAAAGGAAGTGTGCATCGAAAAATATATTTATCTTGTTTTAAATTAGAAATATGAAGGCGATGGAGAAGAGTTTAACAAAATTACGAGCTTATAGTATTATTGTTTACGTTTTAAAAGGTTTCAAAATCATGTTACACATTTTTTTAAGTTTAAGAACTCATTTGACACTAAATTAAACTGAATAAATCAAAATTTTCTCTTTCTTTATTGTTATTGTTTGTTTTATTAATTTACACTTCTGTTTAATCTATTTTCCGCAAGTGCCTCTCTAAATATAAGGGCCAGCATTGTTAAATATAAATAAAACAAAATAAATATTTTAAAATGTTAATTAATTGATACATTTATTTTTCATAATAGAAAATTAGATTATAAGAAAATGCAAGTGAAGAAATAAGAGAACTCTATTTCTAAAAGAAAGAATCTTATATAGTAAGCTAGGAGATGTCAGGGACCTGAGGGCTTTTGGCAATTAACTGGGAGACGAGTCATTGAGCCATTTATGAAGACTCATTTTACCATACCAATACTAACGGAGAAGAGGGAACACGTGCTTGCTTTAACGTAGAATTTGATGTCAACATAAAAATTGACCCTTTGAAAGACCCTTTTTCATAGTTCTAAAAAGATTTCTTATTCTGTTTTGATATATGTATGTATAAATGAATTCATGCCCTTATTTAGTTTAATTCCTCTGGCCCAAAAGATTTGATTAGTTTGCTTCTATTCTTCCATCTCAAACATCCAAGTCAGTGCAAATCAGCAACACTAATTAATGGGAGCTCATTCAGCAAACAATTACTAACACTTTCAGAGAACACACTGCATATTTTTTAATGGCTGCAAAGCAAGCTTAACAAAATCAATCAGAAAAAGACATAACGCTTGACAACTTAAAATTTTATTTTATTTTATTTATTTTTATACAAGAAATAATTGATGAAGAAATGCTAGATATATTACCATCGTTCCTCAAAATCAATCTTCTTATTTGGACATTCAGAATTTGTGTTCCGTTCCCTAACACTTAATTACTTAATGAATAACTCCGTTACGTTAAGGTAGAAAAATTAGGATAGGTGCCTCCTTAGGGAATTCTTTAATACTTATAAAATTTCATATAAACAAATATACACTACTCAGATTATTGAGACAAAAAGAGAGTCCGATGAATGCCTAAATCTACAAAGCTTGGTGAAATAAGTGAAGTACAATGTAAACCTTTGGTGCAATGATTTTCTTCAACCAAATTATTGTATTTCTTTGACGAGGTCTGAAATTTTCTTTTGATAAGAGGAGAGTAAACTTTTTTTTTCTTTTAACTTGATATACTAGGACCATGATCATGTTGGTGTTTGATGAAGATATCATATGGAAATCATATGTTTCAGTTTTTACTATGATTTTTAGTCAAATATTTTATAGGTGTGACTTTGTATTATTTGTTATAGATTAGACATTTGTTTGATAGATTAGCTTAAATCCAAATGAATGATTAATGGAATCCTAATCTAAATAAGTACAAGTGTAAATCTAACTCATGCAATCAATTACAAGATATTTGGAGTTGATTAACATGGTTTAGACTAATACTTAGATTTTGTTCAAATAGAATTGTTTTGTGAAAGTATTGAGTTAATTGAATACATGTGCTTTGTAATTAATTACAACAGTATTTTAACAAAACTATGTCTCAAAAAGTTTAATCGATTACTATGATTTCGTAATTGATTATACACGTTAAAAATTCATTTGAAAAAAATCCATACTTTCACGAACAATCGATTACAATAACATTTAATCAGTTACATGATATTTCTGGGCAATATACAAGCTACATTAAACACTTTAATTGGTTACCAAAGTTTAATATTAGATTAAAATAGGTTCATTATGTTAGTTTTAAATAGCTTATCTTTTCTAACTTAAGGTGTACAATTTTCACTTTGTAGCATTTTTTACGAAACACACTTTAAGAGAGAATCAGAGGGTTATTGCTATTTCAGATAATGTGATTGTTCATCATCAAGATTTAGTGATCATCCAATTGGTTTTATGGAAAAAAATGAAGAATTTTTGCACAAACGAAGGTGTAATCCGTCCTTATCTTTGTTCTTTCATTTTTGTTCATAACTAATATGGAAATGATTTTTCCATAGGTTTGAGAATCATAGTGTTTGATTCTTGATTAAAAATTTTCTTGTAGGGTTCAAGAAAAGTTTAGAATCATAGTATTTGATTCTAGTTTTAATTTACTTCTAGGGTTCAAGAAATGGTTAAGAAAATTGCTTGTACATAGTATTTGTAACATATAGTGTTTCTTGGTAAAAAGAGTTTGACTAGTGTTGTCAAATCAACACTAAATATAGGTTGGGGTTTCCCAAACTAGTATAAATTTTTGCGCTCATTTCTCTTTCATGTTATGTTTTATTTTGACATCTATCTTAAATTGATAAGGATACAATTTTTATTTAAAGAATGGAATTATTTTAAAAAGCATTACCTTTATATATTTCTGACCATTTCTATAACAAAAAATTCTTTATATTTTAAACCTATTAAGGTTCCCATTATCCATTAATGGGCATAAACCCAATTTTCACTCATTAAGCCCATGTTATTTTTTATTAGTAGTCTAAAATACTTACTAAAATTAGATAACTTATATTAAGTTCATAAAAAAGGTAAATAACTTACATAAATATTATAACTAATTTGTATCCCACCTTATTTTATTAGAAATATAAAATTTATAACAATCCCCCACTTTTACTGTATAATTATTTTGACATTTATATCACAAAAAATTTAGGTGCGCAACTATATGTTATTTACTTTTAAATTCTCCTTAAACAATCTAGTTCATCTTATAGGAACCACCACAACATTCATCAAATCAATGATCATTGCAGTCATATCTATTTCAATGACATAGATCAAATATGGATAAGTGACATGGAAATTACATGTAATGTGATTTTAATCATGTCTATTTCTAATTGGTCCAAACTTTAATCTTTATAGAGATCAATTCAACATTATTGCAATATACTTATTGCATAAAATAAATTCAGAATAGAAACACAAATATTTAATTTATTATGTATGAAACAAAAGCATATAGAATATAAGTGAGACTCCTACTCAAACTAAGGAATAATAAGAAATAACACCCATAAGAGCAATGCACTCATGAAAAAATTTAGGTAGTAATCATATAGTAAGTGGATCAACTAACATAAAGTCAATCCCTATATTTGCTATATTAATTTGTTAATTCTTAACTCTTTTCTCAAGAACTAGAAACTTAATATCAATGAATTTTTACTTGGTTGTACTCTTATTGTTATTGGAATCAAGAACTGCTGAGTTATTGTCACAATAGATTCTTAATGACGTTTCAATATTGTTGTTTAACATACTAGAAACTTGATATCAATTTTTTGACAAACTTCCAAGAGATAGCTCCTCTAACAAACATAAATAAGTATCCAGACTTGGAACATTTGCTGTGTTGACATTTAGCAAAATTAGAGTCTAAGTACTTCATGATCACTAAACTATTAGACTTTGATAGAGGAGCATGTACTCTTTTATTCTCTTCAAATAATATATCACACACTTTACTGTCTGCCAATGCTACATCCTAGGATTACTTATGTATCTGGCCAAGACACCCACCACAAATGCTACACTTGCATAAGTACAAACTTGAGCGTACATCAGACTTCCTACAGTTGATGAATAGAGAATATTTTACATCTAGTTTCTTTCAAGGTCATTTTTCGGACATTGTTTGAGACTAAATTTGTCTCATTTAGCTATAAAGGTATCTCTTAACTTACTAACTTTCATGCCAAACTAAAACCTCATTGATATAACTCTCTTGTGATAACCTTAGGATGTCATAAGGATAATCACTTAGTATCTTAATACCTAATATAAAAGAGGTTTTGCCAAGATCTTTCATTTCAAAATTCTTTGTTAGAAATCCCTTGGTTTCATGCAATAGTTATATATTGCTGCTAACAAGTAGTATACCATTAACATATAATACTAAGAATATATATTTACTTCCACTGAACTTATGATAGACAAAATCATCAACTATATTTACCTCAAAACCATAGAAGATAATAATTTGATGAAACTTGTGATACCATTGACGAGAAGTTTGTTTGAGACCATAGATGAATTTCTTTAGTTTTTGCATACCATAGACGTTGAGTCACTGGACACATAATTTTCTGGTTGTATCATAGAAATCATTTCTTTAATGTCACTATTTAGAAATAAAGTCTTAACATCCATTTGATGTGGCTCTAAATCGTAATGAGCTATCAACATCATTATTATTCTAAAAGAATCCTTTAAGAAATTGGAGAAAATGTTTCTTTGTAATCAATGCCTTCCTTTTGAGTGAAGCCTTTAGTAACTAAGTGAGCTTCATATCTTTCAATATTACCTTTTGAATCTTTCTTGATTTTAAATATCTATTTACAACCAATAGATTCCACACCTTCAGATAATTCAATGAAATCCTAAACATTATTGTCTTCCATAGATTTCATCTCTTCCTTTATGACATCAATCCACTTTTGAGAGTTAAAACTACGCATAACTTGACAAAAGTTGTGTAACACCCTCAATTTCATTAACTTTATTTTTTTATTTTAAAAAAAGGAGTTTAGTGCACGGCCTTTCGCTCAAGCAAGATTGGTTTTTTCTAGACCAGGTATTTTGGGGCACTCTCGCCCAAGCAAG